CCCTGAAAAAGCCAACCTGCAACCACTGACTACTTGGAAGGCGTTCACAAAATGGTTTAAAGCGACGGCAACCACTGCGCATCAAGCGCATGGAAAGCAGCAGCCCGTGTGACACAATTCACCCGCGCAAGCTTAACAGACTTAACAGTCGTGCCCTTGATACACCCTCACACATGCGGTGCCTGCAAAGAGGTCCGACTCTACAAGCACTGCGAGCGAGGTTGTGGGGGTTTAAGGGGTCAGGGGCGTAGGGTTTAGGGTTTTTGGATTGAGGACTTAGGGTATGGGGTCTGTAGGTTCTGTAGAGTGTCGGGTTTGGGGTTTAGGGGCCCATATACTCCTCTAACGACCAGGAGAGGCGATGAGAGGCGCTCCACTTTGGAAGCGAAGGGTGGTGCGAACGGGTTCAGGTCTCTAGAGGCTACCCTACAAAACCCCCAAGCCATGGAATCCACCTGATGCAATCTATCAAGACATATACAATAAGAAGAGTGTAAGAATCCAACAAACATGAGAATGAACGGTAAGAAGAGTCATACTAGTAACAACAATAATAACCGCAAGCTTCGGGGCTGTGAAGGCTGCAAGGGCGAGCCCCGGGTTTCTTCGACATTCCAATCATCTCCGGGACCCTAGAAGGAGGGGGGCTGAAAAGGCTCGTCAAGACCAATCCTGCCTCTTGTCGCCCAGACTATGAAGGATCTTTATGTAGGATTAAAGGTTTAGGGTTTGGGCAGTTTAGGGTTTAGGGTTTGAGTTTAGGGTTTAGGGTTTGAGGTGATTCGCACAAACTGCAACTGAGATTGCAAGCATCCCCACATCTAGTCAACATACATAACGAATACAAAGTAGTCGTCAGCGGAGGTTGATAGAACAAGAACACAGTATAGCATATGGTACAGACAATATAGTGGACCCTAAACCCGCAACCTTAAACACGAGACCCAACGTCTGAGCACCCTGCTGAAGTAGTCGTCGTCGCGCCGATTGCGCTGGGCGCCTGCGGTGGGGGTTTGCGTGTCAGGGTCGCGTCTAGATATATGGCACGATGGGCAAAGTGATTACAATAATAAGAACAATCATACCAACAATAGCCATAAGAATAAGACTAACCATAAGAATAATAACAACCACAAGGTAGTGAAAAAAAAACTCGGCAAGCGTGCCCTGGCAACATTTCTCCATGCATTTGTTAATGGCCCTTCGAAGGGTGGCTGGCAACCTTGGGAAGCTCACCGAGGGAACCAAGGGCCTGCCCGACAAGAGCACTTGAATTAGTAAGACTGCCATGCCATGCGGATGCTGGCACGGTCACTACAGATTCCAGGATGGGCGATGCGACGACATAAGGTTTGGGGGTTACATGGGGTTACGGTTTCGGATTTGCGCTTCATACAAGGAGCCTTGCAGTAAATTCCAACAAGTTGGAACATCCTTATCCCCATACCCCAAAAGGTATACTAAAGGGAATACCTGCTCTAATCGTCCTTAAACCATGTTCCAAATTTCTGGAGTTTACTGCGTAGGGCTCTTCATGGCCCCTGTAGGGCCAAACAGCCCATCCTGTTTCATGGCAAAATCACGGCTGGGATATGCCTCTACCGGTAAGCTTTATCACCGCAGATCTCCCTAATTTCAAGGAGCTTCGGATGGGTACCATGCTGCTGTGGAGACCAGGTACATCTTATGGAGTAGTCGTCGTGAAGGGCGATTCCCCTCCAAGACAGTTCAGGCCATCGTTGGAGCTCGTTGGCTGGGACATGCCTGCCTTTTCGACGTCGATGGTTAAGTTTCCGAAATCGATCGTGTCCTCGAAGACCTGCCTGGGTTGAAAAAGCTGCCTTTCCTATTCCTAATCAAGACCCTCTTCAACCCAAATGAAGGAAAAACACAACACATACAACACATCCCATGAGCCCAGGTGCCACACTCCCCTTCCGTCGTTGTAGGCGCAGTAGAGGGACGTTTGCCATTGCCACTGCGCGCCTGAGGCGCTGCCTCCGCCCGGAACCACACTTCCCGGAATTGCCTGCATGGTCAGAGTGTAGTGAAAAGTCGAATCGAGGAGATTCTGGATGTAGACTTGTCCCGATTGGGAACAGGACAGCAGCCATTGCCCCGTGGCGCCGGCGGGAGGATTTGGGATGTCAGAAATCAGGATGTCGGCCAGGGTCGACCCGCTCGGGTTTATCAAATTTTGCTGCGTGTATGGGATGTTTGACGCCACTGGCGTTTGGGAGCAAGTCAAGGTATCCACGTCCACTGTCACGGTCCGTATGTGGGTCTGGTCAGTCTCAATATACTCACCGGTCACTGGATTGAACCCTGCCGAGAAGCTTCTCTCCAACTTGCCCAGAAAGCAGGCAGTGCCTGTGCCCCCTGCAGGACAATCAATGCGCACGAGTTGATTGTTGCTGAGTGCGTCCTTCTCAATGCAGTAGATGAAATTAGAGCCCGGCTTCATCCCACATGCGTTGAAACATTTGTCTGGGATGGTGCAAAGGATGTTGTACTGCCCTGTGCTTACGTCCAACTGCTTGATGTCAGAGCCATCAGGGCATGACCCTGCACCGGCTCGGTTGATGAGCTGAAGCGGTGCAAAGCCCAAATCCAGACAGTCGAAAGACTGCTGGGTGAACGTTGTGCTGGTCTCCGTGGCAGTTGTTTCTGATGTCACCGTCGTGGTGCTCGTCACAGTTGATGTCAGCGACGAGGTGCTCGTCACAGTTGATGACAGCGACGTGGTGCTCGTCACAGTTGATGACAGCGTCGACGAAGTGCTCGTCTTTGGCAGTGGTGGAACCTCATGTTGCGCCAGGTTAGGGGTTTAGGGTTTGACTACTAAGTACTCCTCAGCACGCGGCTTGAACTTTCGTAAAGACTGCAACGAAAATGAACTAGATTGACTCCTAGATCCAAACCAACACATGCACAGTCAGAAGCAGCCAACTCTATAGATCAGCCACAGAAAGCATATGCATGTCGGTCGTAGTACAATCGTACATTTAGAAAGTAGTTCTGGGCAGAATCGAAGGCCGAGGCTGCCCTTGAGCGCTAAATACTTTGGTTTTGGGTTTAACGGTTTGGGGGTTTGGGGTTCAACGTACGATCGTGGCAATGTAGTACGATACCATACTACAATACTCTAGGCAGTGGGTAACTCGAGTTGGGGCCTAATTATCAAAAACCTGAAGTCGCGATCCGAAGTCACTCAATCCTTTACTACACCGGCCAGGCGACGATTCCTGGGTTGCAGCCACGGTGAATGGCAGCTGCAGCGGGCGCGATGCTGGCAGCTGCCGTCCCGATGCCCGCAATGGAGGCTCCACAAAGGGCGCTCACGTTCATGATGTCCTGGCAGGGAGAAATGCTGCAAATACAGGTCATCCATCCTTTGATGAGACTGAGCGCCACAGAATACTGTGGAATACAGGTGATACAGGACCGCAAGAGGAGCCAGAACTTTGCAAACACAACCCATGAACAAACCCGAACCCCAAACGCTGGATAAAAGCCTACTCTGCAGAATGCAGTGCTCCTCGCAGTTCACAATCGAGAACTGAATGAAGGTCACCACCTGCAAAAAGTATGCCACGGCGTTGCCAATATCCACAGTGCACAGCGCCTCGCGCCTGAGCTGCAACTGCGTGGCTCCGAAAGGAAGAACCGAAATCCTAAACCCTAGACATAAACAAAGCTTTCTGCATTGGCTGAAAGTAACAGAGGGAGTGACAGATGCTGGCAGCTCCCTGAATTGACAGCCGAGTTGATGGCCAAGCCCATGTGGGCAATGTTCGATGCAACCATACCTTCACTGGGTTTCGGGTTTGGGGTTTAGAGCTCTGCCGCCCCTTTGTGAGGCCACTGGCATCTGAAAACAAAAAACTCCTGAAACAGATGTATACGGGCTTCACGCTAATAAGGGACCCCAAATACAGACCCCACAAAAAGGGATCCCCTTGTCGTAAGGATCTCATGGTACACCGAAACTCCGGACACCTATACCCTAAACCCTAAACCCCCATATCTTTCCAGGCACCAACGTCCACTGCACACTGAATGTCGTTCCCGATCTCCCCCTCCCCGATGAGCAATTTGCGGCTCAGGAAATAATCGTTGTACCTCCACGTGAGTTTAGGGACACCGGGGAGGAGAAGGCAGACGTAACATCTAACAACCCCACACCGAGACCGGTGGACCAAAACAACAAGCCCTAATCCCCAAACCCCTTGGGACCCGGGCGTCTGATCACCGAAAGTGCTGACCCTGCCGTCAATGTCTTCGTCGACCTCTGTGGCGTTTGGACCACACGTGGCTGCCGCCATCGATGCTGCTGCAGCGAGCTCGCCCAAAGCTCCCGTCAACTGGCCAATACCTTCGTACGCCGAAAGTTCTGCTGCATAATAATAATGATGATAATAGAGCTAAGGGTAAGAGCAAGAGGAAGCAAGAGTCACAGTCAGGTTAAGGCTAAGAGTAAGGGTCACAGGCAAAAGTAAGAGTCACAGTCAGGTTAAGCGTAAGAGTAAGGGTCACAGGCAAAAGTAAGAGTACCAGCACGAGTAAGAGGAAGAGGAAGAGTAAAAGTACGAGTGAGATTAAGAGTAGGAGTAGGAGCAAGAGTAAAACTAAGAAAAAATATGAATAAAACGTAATCATGGCAAAAAACAACAGCCATAAGAAGAATGGTGATCACAATCGTAATGCTAATAATGACAACCAGTCCAGCCCAACCCAGCCTGCAGCGCAAAGGGGTCCTCCTTTGTTGCCGGCCACGCCGCCGACCCAACCGCCTCCCACGCTGACGCCTTAGTTGCTGAATTGCTTGGCCCAAAAAAAGGGCTAACCTTCTGATTCTAGTAGGATGATATATAAAGGCTAAGCCTATAGTTATAACAGGAATATTCATATTCATATTCATATTCATATTCATATTCATAGTCATAGTCATAGTCATAGTCATAGTCATAATCATATTCATATTCATACCATATTCATATTCATATTCACACACATACACACATACACACATACACACATACACACATACACACATACACACATACACACATACACACATACACACATACACACATACACACATACACACATACACACATACACACATACACACATACATACATACATACGTACGTACGTACGTACGTACGTACGTACATACATATACACATACATCTCTATATGTATGTGTATAAATATACATATATGTATATCCAAAGAAGGTCATCGTCCAACTACATGTCAGATATTATAATACCCCAAAAGGGTACAGGTCACCTACTCCTTCCAGTTCTAGTATAATTATGTATATGTATGTGTATGTGTGTATACATACCCGCAAAAAGGTAAAGGATACCTATACGCTGCTAAGACACTGTCCTCGCAGTTTGAGACCGCCGAGGCAAGCTTCGACGCCAAGTTCCCTGCCCAGAAGATCAACATGCCAGAATCGACCTGCCACGTCTACAAGGTCGACGAAAAAATCAGAAACCGGAACCGCTGAATCAGAAACCAGAACGGCTGAATCAGAAACCAGCCCTGCAGAAACCACAACGGGAAAATCAGAGACGCTGAATCAGAAACCAAGGCGGGTGAATCAGAAACTAAAACAGGAAAATCGGAAACCAGGAAACCGATGCTTCGGAAACTGGCGAACGGCTGATTCGGAAACTGGCAAACGGCTGATTCGGAAACTTGCAAACGGCTGATTCGGAAACCGCGAAACCACCCAAAAAACCCACCAAAACCCCCTCAAAAACTGAAAACCTCCGCTGGTATTACGGGAGGACTACGGTTGAGGGTCTATAAGGGGACATACGGTACCTCTCATTGGCTACTGAAAACTGGACTGAAAGTCGATTCTTTTGGGCGATCAACTTTACCCGCCCGCCACCCCACTCTCTTGTCTTTTGGGGTAGGCGGGTGGGTCGAGCGCTCAGTGAGACCCTGGCAGGGAGTTTGGCGGGCGACCGAGCTGGCCTCCAGGCTGGCTAGGCACAGGCCGAGTCAGACTGTATTACATTATATTACCCTAAACCCCAAGCTGTCCGCGCACATTGGGAGGGGTTCTGGAGACCCCCTTCTGCTGAGCCCTTCGCGCCAATCCAAGCTGTCTTCGCTGACCCTGCCTTTCCGTCTGCGCATCGCAAATGCCCGGTGCTGGTGTCTTCCTGCCTCTGGCCTTGTCCCGGCCCCCCCAAAAGGGCATGAGTGCTGACTCATGTGATGCTTTGTAAAAAAATCGAAGGTCTTAACTCCTTGAGAGTTGTAAGTGGGCGGTCTTGGGTTGGGTAGGTCTGCAGACTACCGCGCGCACCCAAAGCGCGCTTCCGTTTGGCACGCCGTAAACCCTAAATCCGCCGAGGCCGGAGGCCTCTTCATAGTTCCTCCCCCCCCCCCCCACCCCCACTGAAACCCTCACAAGGCCGACCACCCATTTTGGGGTCGGCGAGCGCAGTCGAGCGGTCAGCGAGACCACGCAAAGCTGCAGAGCCTGCAACGCTTGAGGCGGTCGCCAAACAGGGGGGGGGGGGGGGGGCATACTTTCCAAAAGTTAAAGGCAAAAAGGCCTTGAAGAGGATGGAGGAAGGGCTGGTTGGCCAGAAAATGGATCTTTGAGGGGGGTCCGGACTCCTTATTTTTGCTTACTGTAAAGAACACGCAACTCTTGAATACAGCGGAGCCTAAACGTGGGCAACGAAGCTTCCGTGGGCTTCTGGAGCCCTCCCGGAAAGGGAGGAAAGTGCGGGAAGGCCCTTCGGGTTTGGGAGCTCCCGGAGCTTCCAGCCCCCAAAAAGTTTGGCCAAGGGGTCGCATGTGTAAATTTAGAGGCAACATGCTTGTGGGTGACCGCACCCGGCTGAAACTCTGATTCCCTCTTGGAGGGGAAATCCTGTCGCTGCGCCTAGCGATGAGAGGCAGAGTGCCAACCCTAAAATGTGGCCTCTGAAGCAAACTTTATGGAGGTTTACGAAAACAAGGGACCCTTCATATAAACCCCCAACTAGTAGGATTCCTGCATAATCAGGACCCCGATAAGGTACCCTAATTTCGGCAACCCCCCTCTTCCCAAAGTCAAACGAAGCATCCAATCGAAGCGAGGCCCTTTGACCCGCAGGCCCCAAAAAGTAACACGAGCAGCCTTCGCGTAAGTAGTAAGTGTATTGCATCGCCCCAAGCATGACCCCCCCCCCGCCTTCATAGGGATGTCTGGAGAAGCAGAAGCCCTAAACCCTGAGAGGTTTCAAGTTTGGGTGGCATTGGGGTGGGATGTTGCGTCCAGCTCGGCACAATGCGCCGCGAGCCCCTGCGTCGAGGCACGCCGCTTCCCGTGGGAAAAACTCCAAACACTTAGAAGCCCCCCACACCCGAAGCCATAGCTCAGCTGAGCAATGCATGTGATGCCAGGCCTGGCAGGCCACTTCGGACCTGTATGGCCGAGGATCCGGACACACTCTCACCATTCCATTAATATCGTCGCCGAGGCCCATGGCGCTGAAGAAGGCCTGCTTCGACTTCACAATCTCTCTCTCTCTCTCTCTTTTTGCTGCGAGTTTGCTGCATCTTTGCTCGAAAGAGGCGCGCCTCGACAGCATCGAAAGAACAAGTCACGATGTTTGCACTCCGCATCTTCTGGCTCTTCTTTACCTCAGTCGGGCTCTCGGCTGGAAAACGAGGAAAGACACTAGCCTTTCGTTCTCATTCCATTCTACCTCAGAGCCAATCATCTAGCATGAACGCCGTTTTTCAGAACACCTTGTTGAAGATCGTGTTGGCGGAATGATTACGAGTAACATCGAGTAACTAGTACAGGAATGAGTCCAAGGCACTGCCAGGATGGTCGGAAGCGGATCAAGCTCACGGAGCTCGTGAGGACCCCTCTTGCTCGCCGCATTTATGGCATTGAAGACGAGTGCTTTAGCACTCTGCAAACTCTCGCTGAGGGAGATGACCTCCGACCTGCGATCCACTCCATTCTCCATCTTGCCGAACGCGGTGAATCGCGAGACATACACGACCAAACTGGCAAGGCAACAAAGGAGCAAGAGAGGAAGTCGCAGACGCACGCCACGGTAGTGACTTGTGCTGTCTGTGACCGGGATGAACCCATCATCTTCGCTGCCGGCGCTGCCTTCGATCTCTGAGTGCTGGTCTTGCTCAGCACTGGGCGTGCTGTGCAAGCCTGTGTACGACATCCGCGGTGTTGTTGCAATGTCGGCCGGCAAGCTAGAAAATTTGGCTAAACGACTTTGAGCAGAATGCCTGAGATTTGAGGTGGTGCAGCATCCATGGAATCTGCGAACGCATGTGAACGCATCGACTTGAGTCTGCCTACCATACCATTTGCTTCGCTGCACCTTCAACCTTCGCTTGAGATATGAAGCGAAAAGAGCCCAGTGCAAGGAGACTCCCGTGGCACGGGGCGGAGCCTGGCAATGAGAGTCCATCTTTCCCGTAGCACACCTCACCGCAATCAGCGCGCTGTTTGAGAGCGGTGTTACAAGATTGCCCCACTTAGGCAAGAATGTCAGTCCGAGTCACCATCATTGGTGGCATCGGGGCAGCTCAGCTCAATCCACTACTAAACCCTAAACCCTAAACCCTAAACCCTAAACCCGAAACTGGCCCTAAACCCTAAACCCTAAACCTCAGTGATCTTTCACGCTTCGGGTAGTCAAGATTCTGCGTCCAAAATTGTTCTGCTTAGATTGGTCTCCTGGGCACGAAACCTGGAACACCATCTCGGACCGTGTGGCCTTCAATGTAGCGTGGGCCTGGAAAAGAGGTTTGGGTCACTTTAAGTGGTTGAGGGTTTGGAGCTGAGGGCTTAGTCCCCCCCTTGGCCGACATCCTGGGACTCGTTTGGGGTATTAAATTGAGGCTTCTTATATGCTCAACACCTGGACCAGGCCGATAGTGAATCTTGAAAAAAGGGTTTCTGTTCAGTTTGTATGCCAAGAGAACTGCACGAGCTACATGCTGCAGGTTGGCTGCTCCAAGCAACCAAGCCCCATCTACACGAAGACAGCGACAGCACTCACAATCTCGCATAAACGGGAGGTGTCAAGCCCAAACCGTGTAAGACCACTCCAGGAACACCCCAAGAGCACCCCAAGAAACCCTCCAAGACCACCCAAAAAACTTCAAGACCACTCCGAGGGCAAAAGCGAGAAGACAGCTCTGCGCGTGACAAGGAGAATGCGAACGGGACTGAGGCGACGGCACCATTTGCAAGAAGCGCAAAATCCCTTACAGTAGCTGAACGGACAAACGAGTCCATCCAAATGGCCAGCGAATGCAAACACATGCCTGCCACGCCTGCGGCACGGAACGGTGCAAACATCAACAGGCACAGTGGCAGGAGCTTGATTTTGAGTACGGAACGTGCATGGGGCCCAGGCCAGAGCGCGACTTGGCACCCTGCATGCTTTTGGCCATGAAAGCACCCACAGCGAGGGTACCACAGACCTGAATGTTACCATCCTCCCCCCCCCCCCCCCCCCCAACCCCCCCCCCTCCTGCCCCGACCCCTACTTGAATGGGCATTTCAATGCCAGTCTCATGACTCGAGCAGCGTCTGCTTCCTGAATCAGCTTATTTTCTGAATCAGACAGCTCCCTGAATGGCAGACTGGAGCAGTTTCCTAGAGCGCAAACTTTCTGAACCCACCAGTGACATGAACGTTGTATCATCCCACCCCCGCCCCCCCCCCCCAGCCCCGCCCCGGAAAGCTTCCACAGCTGAGCTCCGAAAGTGGCTTCCTGAATCGAGCAGCTGCTTGGTTTCTGAACCGCGAACCTCCAGTTTCTTGAATCGCGCATGGTTTCCTGAACCGCGGACTTCAGAACGCTTCCTGAATCGCCCTGAATCGTGCGAAACCAGTTTCCGGAATCGTAATCGCCCGAGTTTCCTGAGTTGTGAGTTCCTGAAACGCGGCATTAGACTTCCCACTCTCTCTGTGACATCTCACGTTGCAAGAGGGACCAGGGGCTTACAAAGCGCTCTCTCCCGACCATTGCAAGAAAGTCGCCGGCAATGCGGCGAAGAGCACAAAAACGCAACGTCGCCCGGCATCAGTCACAACCTGCAGCTTGCAAGTGTACAACGCCTTTGGTAATGAACTGTATCGCATGGTTCTTGGGTCTTGGATGCGAGTTTATGCATGAGGCTCCTGACGGTTTGACGAACCAGGATTGAAAACAAGAGACAGAGAGACAGAGAGGCAGAGAGACAGAGAGACAGAGAGACAGAGAGACAGAGAGACAGAGAGACAGAGAGACACAGAGACACAGAGACACAGAGACACAGAGACACAGAGACACAGAGACACAGAGACACAGAGACACAGAGACACAGAGACACGGAGACACAGAGACACAGAGACACAGAGAGACAGAGAGACAGAGAGACAGAGACACAGAGAGACACCGAGACACCGAGACACGGAGACACGGAGACACCGAGACACGGAGACACGGAGACGGGGAGGAGACACGGAGGAGACACGGAGGAGACACGGAGGAGACACGGAGGAGACACGGAGGAGACACGGAGGAGACACGGAGGAGACACGGAGGAGACACGGAGGAGACACGGAGGAGACACGGAGGAGACACGGAGGAGACACGGAGGAGACACGGAGGAGACACGGCGGAGACACGGCGGAGACACGGCGGAGACACGGCGGAGACACGGCGGAGACACGGCGGAGACACGGCGGAGACACGGCGGAGACACGGCGGAGACACGGCGGAGACACGGCGGAGACACGGCGGAGACACGGCGGAGACACGGCGGAGACACGGCGGAGACACGGCGGAGACACGGCGGAGACGCGGCGGAGACACGGCGGAGACGCGGCGGACACGGCGGAGACGCGGCGGAGATCGCGGAGACGCGGAGATCGCGGAGACGCGGAGATCGCGGAGACGCGGAGATCGCGGAGACGCGGAGATCGCGGAGACGCGGAGACGCGGAGATCGCGGAGACCGCGGAGACCGCGGAGACCGCGGAGACGCGGAGACGCGGAGACGCGGAGACGCGGAGACGCGGAGACGCGGAGACGCGGAGACGCGGAGACGCGGAGATGCGGAGACGCGGAGACGCGGAGACGCGGAGACGCGGAGACGCGGAGACGCGGAGACGCGGAGACGCGGAGACGCGGAGACGCGGAGACGCGGAGACGCGGAGACGCGGAGACGCGGAGACGCGGAGACGCGGAGACGCGGAGACGCGGAGACACGGAGACACGGAGACACACGACACACAGAGAGACACACGAAGAGACACAGAGAGACACAGAGAGACACAGAGAGACAGAGAGAGACAGAGAGAGACACAGAGAGAGACACAGAGAGAGACACAGAGAGAGACACAGAGAGAGACACAGAGAGAGACACAGAGAGAGACACAGAGAGAGACACAGAGAGGGACACAGAGAGGGACACAGAGAGGGACACAGAGAGGGACACAGAGAGAGACACAGAGAGAGACACAGAGAGAGACACAGAGAGAGACACAGAGAGAGACACAGAGAGAGACAGAGAGAGACAGAGAGAGACAGAGAGAGACAGAGACGGAAACGAAGGAGTTTTGAGAGTAGTTTAGGGAAGGGATCGTTTTGCTGTACACGTAGCAGTTCAGGCGTAGGGCTCGTTGAAGTTCGGCGGATCTGCTACTCCTCTGAGGAACCATTTCGGCCTCAGCGTGACTTTGATGCGCACCTCCGAGCATATTTGGAACATGCTGAGGCCACGTCGCTCGAAGGAGTCGGCACCCCTGGCTTTGTTCAAAGCGTTAAGGAAGGCTGCGAAGGATTTCCTTTTCAATCAGGATCCTAACCTGGAGCCCGTTTCTGGTAGACTGCATGTAAGCCATGGATCTTTGGGAGCCCCGCGTAACAGCGGCTTGGTAATTTAGAGGTCCTTCAGACACCTTGAACACAAACGAAACCTTGAATTTCTCGAAATCAAGCAAATCGTTCATGGTGCTTGTGCTATGCCTGTGGTGGCATGAATGTGCACCACTCCACCTTGTTGCTTGGTGTCTGAACCGATACTTGGCTGGAGCCCACCTCCTCTACAAAACATCATGCGCGCGCGCACAGACGAAACCCGAGCGTCTTCTTCTGCATCGGGAAGCCTCCACTTCGCAGCGCTACCCGACAAACTGACCTCCAACCCCTAAATTGCCTGAATCTCTCTCATCGAAACTCTGAACCTTCTTGGGGGGACTCTGGCGTTCGACATGCAAGGTTGCATCTTCGAGATGCAAAGCTGGCGCCCGAAATGCATGGCACCGTGACGTTTGCATCTCGAAAACCTACCTGTGCCGGTTGAGCCAGGGTTTTTACCACTTCTACCTATTGTAATCGAAGAAATTCCAAGAATTCCTCGGCTCTTCTTTCTTTCTTAAAAGGATTTGCTGCAGTTTGCATCCCGAAAACCACCTGTGCCGGCTGAGCCAGGGTTTTACTATTTGACGATTTGGCTATTTTTACGTTTAGCATTTGACTATTTTACAATGCTACTTTTTGACTATTTTAAATTTTGTTATTACTTTACTATTTTCTATTCTACTGTTCTTGCTCTTTCTTACTCTTTTCTTGCTTTTGTTTTGCTTTTCCTTTTTTTACTTGTTTTGCTTTTGCATGTTGTTTGCTTTATACATTGTTCTTGTATTTTGCTCGAATTTGTAAAGAATTCCTCGGCTCTTATGTGCTTTTCGTAGAATATCCTCCATGCCCCCCAGCAGTTTGCATCTCGAGAACCCGCTGGTGCCGGCTGAGCTACTATGCTACGAATTTACGATCTTCCCATTTTACTATTTGCTATTTTATTGTAGTACTTTTCTACTCGAAATCCTAAGAGTTCCTCAGTTCTTACTTGCTTTGAAGAGAGGATGGATGCCCACGACCCCCAAGCATGTCGAAAGCCCACCTGCGCCGATTGAGCCTGGAAATATCTATGCCTGCTGTTTTACTCGACATTTTAAGAACTTCCCGTTTCTTCCTGACTTTTGATAGGATTCGGGCAACGCCAGAATTTTGCATCTCGTTTTTCTTCTTTGTTCTAATTTTTGTTGGGTTCTCTGTCGTTCTTTTTCTCGCCTCTTCCGCACTCTGTTTTTTCCGTGTTTTGGCTTTCGGCCACTTTTTTCGGTCTTGAATGGGCGTTTCTTCGGGTTTTTGCATGTTGAACTCCAAATTTGCATGTTGGGCCAGGGAATCCCTTTCTTGGGGACCACAGCAGCAGCACAGTCCTGTTGGGAGCCACCAGTCGGGGCGGAAGCCCTGCCAGGCCTGCGCTGACGAGGCACAACGTGGAGGGGCTGGGTTGAAGCCATGGTCATATTGAAACTGTCGAGTTGAAGGCTTGAGGGCTTGAGGGCTTGAGGCTGCTGGCATTCACTGATTCAAAGGGCTCTTCATGTTCAATTTGACAATAACAGTGACAATTACTCGATTCACTTTCGCTAAATCTAATTTTGTTGGTCTAGTCGATCTAACAATGCCATCGGTGTATGTTCTGATTCTCAGTTTCCAGAGCCACTGCTCCGCATCGAAGCCCTCCATCAGCCTCTAAGCACTAAGAGACTAAGACAGCCCTGCAGACTGCGTCAAACCGACAACACCAGAATGAAAAAGAGGATGCCCGAAGAACACCCGAAGAACACCCATGGAGCCTTAGGAAACAAAGCCGCAACTCTCCGCAACTCTCCAACTCGAAATCTTCGAAGTCTCCCAATACCTCAGAACGTGGCGACCTGGGTTCCCGGCCAAGGACACACCGTGCGGCTGCCACGGCCTAGCTTGGGCTTCAGGTTTACGCCCTGAGGGCTTCGGCTCTGAAATCTGAAACTTAGAGGGCTTTAGGATCAGGGTGCTCAGAGGGTGCGGGGGGTATGGAGGGGGGGGGGGGGGGCCGAGCCTGGAGTTTAACCCTGAAATCCCGCTCGTCGCGCTTCACAAATTCCCAAGCTCGTGGCTCGAGCACCCTCTGCTTGTCCATTGCCTGCCACTTGCAAAAGCTGAAAAGGCGAGGCTCCGCAAGCACAACTGCACAAGCGTCTAAGGCTTGGGTTTATGGCTATGGGTTTTAAATGGTTTTAAGGTGTATGTGCCTTCTTACGACCCCTCTAACGCAAGTTTTAGGTCATGGAAAGGGGCTTGTCCATCCTGCTCAACATTCAAAGCTACTCAACAACAAAGCCGCAGCCTCCCCTTGCCACCGCACGCAGTCGAGCCGCGAGACGGAACCTTCGTGAATGTCTTTTCCTTACGGGTGTTGAAAATCAGGATCTAACCTCTGTTTGGCACTTCTGATGCTGCTGGCGCGGGCGACGCAGGGGTTCAGAAGGTCATGTGGGCATCGGAAGGTAGCAGGCGTTGTGGTTTTTGAAGAACAACTCACCAAGTCAAACGACGTGGCCAGCGTGATGCCGACAGCTCTTGCGAACAAAAGCCTTGGCCTGCTTTTGCCCTTGAATACATTGGCATAGATTGGGTGGCCATTTTGAAGTTGGCCTTAGGGTCTGAAGCGCCCCAACGAAAAAGTGTCGTCCATAGCTGCTTGGTGGGCTGCGATGAGGGGTTTGGAGTTCCGGCTACAGGGGACAAGGAGAACGGGATTGAGCTTCAGCTGCCGGGTGCAATGCGCAAAAGGAATTGCCTGCCTAAGGTCAGCTGAATCTAGTCTGCCAGGTCCAAACCTACCTTCAAATCAAATAACCTCAGCATCCCCAAACCCTCAAAATCCAAAGCCCCAACTTGAGCTGAGGCGCATTTCCCGCACCCAGGTTGCGAGCCTGGCCCAAGCCTGGAAGTTTGGCCCAAACATCTCCAACCACCGGTTTCGGGCTTCAAGGTTCACGCGGTTAAGCGTCTTCGGTTTTCGGCCCAGGCAGCTTCGAGGTTGCCGTGTCCTAGCACACAGTCGCAGCCGCGGCATGTGCACCCGACCAGACTTGAACCCCGCCAAACCCTTGCGAGACCCTTTCTCGCCCCGAGACCCGAGACTTCGACCCGGAGTTCCCGGAAACATGATCGCATGAGCCGTATTGAAGATAGCGGTAAGCCCTTCGAGTACAAGCCTTACCAGCCCCAAACGCAATGACACCCGACGAGATTATACGCAACCACCCCTCCGCCATCCAGGGCCAAGGCCCTGCGACGAAAAAGGATGATGTGGGGGTCGAACGGCTCCGCAAGCGCCGTATGCTGTGCAGGTTGGGTGGAAGGCTCTCACCGCTTTGGGTTTAGCCACCCCCACTGCCCATCCAGGCTGCATTCTTCGAACTCGAATCTATGAGCTTGCAAGTTTTGCAACGTTTTGCAACGTTTTGGATGTAGCATTCTGATGGATGTTTAAGGTTGAATACTTCGGGGTTGGGGCTCAGGACTTGGCAAAATGTTCTTATATTAATTGTATGAAATGGACATTTGATGTAAAGAAATTGGGATTGTCGGGATTGGGTTTGAAGCGGGTTTGGAGGATCGGGAAGCCGTGGTTTGCGGACATAAAGGGCCCCTGACGCCTACGCCGGGCTCCGTGGAAGAACACTGAGGGCTCGAAGCAGACCGCGACCCCAGACCCTCCTGTGATTCTCAGCGAAACCTGCTCCAGTGGAAGGCCTCAGCCTAGTGACTCGTGTTCAGACTCTGGGTCATCTGGGCGAGCACCCCAAGCTCCGAAACCCCTTCAACGAGAAAGCCTCACACCAGGCTCACGGCCAGGAATCTAGAACCAACTGGAGCCCCGACGTAGAACTCGCCCAGCCTCGAGGCCGACGTAGCTGGCGGAGGGGTCTCTCTTGATCTCCTCCAAACGCATCAAATCTCCTTTAATGTGGACTTGGGACCGTTTGAGAGCTTGAACTGCGAACCTTAGCCGTATGCCGCCGCTTGCGCCGTATACTTCCTCGTGTCTGCTGTATACTCTTGTTCAACAGCTCTCAGCGCTCTCCCCGCCCGCCTGACTGTGCGCGCTGTTGCACTGGAACTGTTACCATAAGAGTAGGAACCAAGGCGCGCACGCTTGCGGGCGCGCCTCTGCGTCTCTGCGTCTCTGCGTCTCTGCGTCTCCGCGTCTCCGCGTCTCGGCGTCTCTGCGTCCCTGCGTCGGTGCGTCCCTGCGTCGCTGCGTCTCTGCGTCTCTGCGTATCTCTGCGTATCTCTGCGTATCTCTGCGTATCTCTGCGTATCTCTGCGTATCTCTGCGTATCTCTGCGTATTGCATTTGTTGGGGCTTTTGGTATTGTCTTCGTGTTCTCCTTTATGACCCCCTTTTTCCCCTATTATCTTCTTTCTTTCGCTAATTCACAGATCACGCGTTCATTTCATTCACATGTATCTGTTGAGATTAGTTGAAAGAAGATAATAGTGTTTAAGGGGCGCATAAAAAGAGAATACAAAGAGCGCCCATTTCGTTCACATCCTATTTTAATTCACGCGTTCGTTCATTTCTTTCACTCGCTTGTAATTAAAATCTTATGTTCTCTTCATTTTAATATTACGGGTGTGTAGGTGTGTGTGTGTGTAGGTGTGTAGGTGTGTGTAGGTGTGTGTGTGTGTGTGTAGGTGTGTGTAGGTGTGTGTAGGTGTGTAGGTGTGTGTAGGTGTGTGTAGGTGTGTGTAGGTGTGTGTAGGTGTGTGTAGGTGTGTGTAGGTGTGTGTAGGTGTGTGTAGGTGTGTGTAGGTGTGTGTGTGTGTGTGTGCGTGTAGGTGTGTGTAGGTGTGTGCGTGTGTGTAGGTGTGCATGTGCGTGTGCGGTGTGCGTGTGCGTGTGCATACTATACGTTAGGCTAGGTCGCTGCTCTGGCTTAGGGGTTCGGGGCTTGCTGGAGGGGGCAACCGCCAAGGCGATGGAGAGCGACTTGGCTTCAGAGCTTAGGAGTCGGAAGGCGTGTTTACAACAAAAGCAGGAAGCTGATCTCCTCAACCTCCAAGCCAGACTCTCGAAAGGCTTTATGGGTGCAGGAAAAATTCTGGAGAATCCTGAAAGGCGGCAGCGAGCGCCTCCTGCACAGCTTTCGGCTGGCCCCTTCTTACACCCTGGGCCTTTTTACACTTGGGGGCTGCGAGACAAAACGGGATGAGGTCATGGTCCTCGAAACCCGATTCCTTGATCTCTTGGGGCGTTGGGCTTGGGGGGGTTTGCAGGCCTTGGAGGATGGACATTAGGGGAAAGCTGCTACGGTTTAGGCATGTTCAGGCCTGTCAGGCCTGGGGCTTGAGTGTGTCTTGGCGCTTCTAGGGAGCTTCGAGGCTAGCATTTTTTTGAACTCTTCTGGCAAATGACCCCGATACTAGCCCAAAGGGACCAAAAGACAGAACTCCGCGAAACACCACAAGACGATGCATACGCGACGTCCTCGTCCAAGTGCATACTGCGGCAGGGAGGCAAGGCCGCCTCGCACTGAGGGCGTGCTTCGGGGTTTCAAGCTTCAAAAATCGTGTCGATTTTCCAAGTTTTTTCCTTCGTGACCAACTTCCCTCTGGATCCACCATTCCAAGATCTCAGGGCTGCGCCACACAGTGCTCACTCAGAGCTGGAAGGTCTCGGCTTCAGGGGCTTTAGAGTCTTGAAGGGCTTAGGCAAACCACAAAAGTCGACCTGTCGGCTTCGGGAGATAAAAATGTTTCAAGCTGGCGTTCAGCAATTCAGCCCCTTAAATTTTTAAGCCCCTGCAACTCCGAGCACTCCAGGCCCTGGAACCTGACATCCCTGAGATGCAGGCAAGGGCATCAAGCCTACTTTGAAGAGTTTGTGCTGCCGAACAAATACGAGGGATGAGTCTACTCCCTGACTGTTAACATGCAGAGATTGAAGCAGATGTAGGCGCCCAGCCCCGCGGAAACGCTTCAACGGAGCCACGGACTGCCTCAAAGGGTTCAGAAGCAAAGGGTTTGTGAGTTGGGGTTCAGGGTTGTGGGTTCACAACTTGGGGCGAGCTTGAGACGTACACAACACAAGCTACTCTCCATCTTGCAACTGTGGCTTTGGTCTTTTATGCTTTTATGGGTATTCCGGGTCTGAAGCCGAGGGCTTCTCTGACTCTCAAAACGCGACACAGACCTGCACCATCACTTTGCAAAGAACCGGTTTACTGTAAGAGAGAGGCACCGTCCCGAGTGCTGAAAGCCTCTCACAATTCAAAGCCCCACTCCGACAAACTACCAACAGGTTGAGGTTCTTGACTTTTTGACTTTTGGATAATTGTGCAGCCAAAACCCTGGAGATCATGCGTCGACCACGCTTCAGGCAAGGCATCTTTAAAGCAAATCTACAGATCTACCGTTGCTGTTCAAACTTTTCAGCAGCGCTGCAGTTCCCTGACCGTAGAGAGACAAAGCCCCAAGCCCATCCAAGCCTCCAGGTCGCTGCCTCCGATGAGGAAGAGCTCTTCCGTGCAGAGGCCCAACCTCTGACAAGGACTCAGATGTCTTGGTCTGTGACATGGTTCTTTTTCAACTTGAAAAGCCAATCAAGTTGGCACCTGCACCTGGAGTTTGAGGCCTCTAGAAGCCAACCCGAGGTGCTCTTGAACCCCAAATGCCCATTACTCCCATTACACTTTCGGCCCTTCTTGCCAGGCATCCGCGCAGCGCCAGCAGCGACCGGAAGTTGGTCCAGAGCGAGGCCTTGTGGCCTCGGGGGCACGAAACTTCGGAAAGAAAGAAAGGAGTTACAGCTTCTGGGCCTTTGTATTTATGAATATTGAAACGAAGCCCCTTTTTTCTTGGTAAATAATAGAATAAGCATACCAAGAGATAAGACTAGAAAGATTAGCATCCGCAAAACCACATACGACTTCTGAGTTTCGTGAGCTTCGCATACTCTAAAGTTGTGGTTTCTCAAGCTTGAGACATTGGAGGAAAAGAGAGCAAAGGTAATCGACAGATGAAATGCACAAATTCGAGAGTTAGTAAAGCTTGAGCTCACGGGATCCATACAGTGATTAACAGGCTTGTTGGTAGAGTACAGGAGGAAGACATAGACATAAATGGAAGACATAGACATGATGGGAGATCTTGAGAGAAAGTGTGATCTTTGGGCTACGAAGGTCTTAGGAGTCTAAGGTGCTCAATACGATCGGGCTTGAAGGATGATGGTTCTCCTTGCAAGTACAAATGACGATGCGGCCACGACGACTCCAAAGCCTACACTCCAAAAAACCCCTTGCCTAATCGAAATAAGTGCTTCCAGATCCACAGCCCCCGATGAGTATGAAGGGCCGTGCAGGCCTGAAACTTCATCAACGATTCGGGTGGGAAAATTCTGCCCAGTGGCAAAGGTTCATTTGAATCCCCCATCCTCTGAACCTCTACGGGTTCCGGCGTGCTTCCGTCCATTAAAGAATAAACGCCAATCTACACCCAGACCCTACAACCGCTCATGGACCGTCCAACGAGGATGGCGCACATCGCGTCAGCACCTGGGACTCCCACCTCGCCGCGGCGTTTTTATGGGTCAGTTGCGGGAACATGTGCCCAACAGGAAAGGCCGAATCCTGACAACCGCTTGGACGGAGGGCTGCAAGTATGCGACGTCGCGCAGCTTTGACCAAATCACTTTCACAGCTTGCCTGTCCAACTCAGTAGTAACAGGCACTTTTGTATAAGTCCTTAGAAAACCTGCCTGTGAACGATGCATCGGACATCTGGTGCACTTACGTATGGATGCTCAATGCATCACGTGGTTTTAACCTGGTCCCTCAAATGTTTCTCTGATGCTTTTAGTGGGAAAGATGTGCAACCTTCGAGACTGAACTTCGGCACCGCCTCAGCAGCTGGCAAAGGCCTAGCAAAGAGCTGCTTTGCGTACTCACATACACTTGTATTACTTGTATACACAACTTCTGTACAGTCCTGTTGCAATGCACGAACAGCGTGTGCCAGGTCATATGTGTGTCTTGTGTGCAGTCCACAGGGTTGCATTCAGCCGCTATCAATACCAAATTCTGAGGGCAGCATGATGACAGCAAGAAAGAAATGAAATGAAAAAGGCTGACACCTAGGCAATGATGTCGAAACGGCATTGGCCCCAATCTTCCCCAGATCCCGGGGTTGAGCTATAGCAACTCGGGCTCCAGGATACGACCGAACCCAAGCTCCAAGCCTTAAACCTGAGTCCTAAAAACACGACATCCGATGAAGCCCTCAGGTCTTGAAGCCTCAACCGGTCCAGGTGAAGTTGTGCCAGGCCTGCACAGCAGGGCTCCAGAAGGGAGCCCGGCAGCTGCTCGTAGGGAGGCAAGGAAGTCAGGATCCTGCAGGTGGCTGAAAGTACTTGAAAACTCCAGCTCTCGGCATTCTGCCCATTTTTTCTTTGTGGGCGCTATCACTTCCATCAGCACACAGACTCCTGACTGCCATACCACACGATAAGCACGGCCTCGGCAGCTTGCTCTGGTGATGGACAGTAAACTGGAGAACCACATAGTTCCGTTTTGGAGACCTTGGGGTTGGATGACTCCTTCCATGATCCGAAAGTCAGGTCCTGGAGGAATGACTTGTTTTACCCAGACACTCTGAATGTACAGGACAATTCCAGCCCTGCGGCCACGTTCTTTCAAAAGGTGCTCTGCAAAATGGACCTCCAGCTGGCAGCTCCTGATCTCAAGCTATTCCTGATTTCGCAAGCAAATGCGAAAGCCTACAAACTCTAAAGCCTCAATTCCAAACCCCTGAAGACACAGGACAAAACAAAAATCTATAGCTCTTCACAAAACGAAACACAAATCGATGTATATATATATATATATCTCTCTCTCTCCACACATATATACATATATACATATATACATATATACATATATACATATATACATATATACATATATACATATATACATATATACATATATACATATATACATATGGGTCACCGCCTATAGCGGTTCCCCTGTGTTTTTGCACATTCCCTTAAACCATCTAACCAAAAACCCCTCAAACCATTAAACCATTAAACCATTAAACCAATGGTTTCCCCCATATGAGAATCCCCTTAACCATTAATTAAACCATTAAACCATTAAACCAATGGTCTCCCCCCCCCCCAAACCATTAAACCATTAAACCATTAAACCATACCATTAACCCATTAAACCAATGGTTTCCCGCTTCTGAAAATCCCCTAAACCATTAAACCATTAAACCATTAAACCAATGGTTTCCCCCTTATGAAAATCCCCTAAACCATTAAACCATTAAACCATTAAACCATTAAACCATTAAACCATTAAACCATTAAACCAATTGTTTCCCCCATATGAGAATCCCCTAAACCATTAAACCATTTTCATGGCGGGCAACCAGTGGTTTAATGGTTTAATGCTTTAATGGTTTAATGGTTTAATGGTTTAATGGTTTAATGGTTTAATGGTTTAAGGGATTTTCATAAGGGGGAAACCATTGGTTTAATGGTTTAATAGTTTAGGGGATTCTCATAAGGGGGAAACCATTGGTTTAATGGTTTAATGGTTTATTGGTTAAATGGGTTAATGGTTTAATGGTTCTCCTGCCGAGGTACCTCTACCGCATCTTTTCTGCTCCTACAGTTCTGATTCGCAAGCAGTGTCCCCTGTATCCCTTCTGCTCCGAATATTCTGAATCGCAAGCAGTGTCTCCCGTATCTTTTCTGCTCATAAGTATACGTATACTATATGGGGTTGCGCCTAAAACCCTAACTCTTAAACCCTGACTCTATAGGGTTTTAAGGTTAGGGTTTAGGTTGAATTGCCGGCTTAGGTTTCAATGCTTCAATCTTTAACCCTAAACCTGTCAACCTTAACCCTCTAGGGTTGGGGTGCCTACATCATCATCGGATTTGACAAGCTCTGCGGAAATTTCTATATGACAAGGTTATAACTTATTGCTGTGGTTATAACTATGGGTTAGGGTTTGATTTTTATACACTTATGTAAACCCATTAGAATAAGGGGAACCCCATCACGCCCCAACAAGCGAAATATCCCAAATACTTTACCTTAGCTAAAATATCTCAAGCAACCATTCCCCGATACGCAACACCTGAATTCCATCATTTAACGATATAGTTTGTGTATATGTTGAATCCCAGCAAGTAGTGCAAGTGACGAGCTCTGCGGATATATGTGCATGACAAGGTTATAACTTTTTGCTGCGGTTATAACTATGGTTCAGGGTTTGATTGATATACATGTAAATTCACCTATAAGAAAAATGAGGGCAACCCCATCACGCCCCCAACACGCAAAACAAAACCTCTATCCTAAAAGCTTTACCTTACCTAAGATCGCTCAAGCAACCATCCCCCGATAAGCAAAACTTGAATTATCCTCTTTGTTGATATGTTGAATCCCATGAAGTAGTTTTCAGGACATTCGCTCACAGTATTCTCGCGTCACCGGGGCGAAAGAGCCCTACAAACGTAGGCATAACCCCATGGGGTTTAAGGTTTGGGGACTTAAGCTCTAAGTGCTCTGGGGTTTTATGGTTCTATTGTATAGGTAATTAATGCCCAAACCTTAAACCTAAACCTTTAAACCCTATAGGGTTCAATGGTTCGACAACCTAAGGTCTGGGCATGTATACCTTCAGCACCCTTTAGGGTTAAAACCTTTGAACCTTTGGGAGCCCTGTAGGGTTTTACGGTTCTGACCCTAAACGAATCAGGGTTAAGGTCTGAATGCCCGAACTTTAAACCCTTAAGATTAAAACTCTTTGAGTTTTCCTTTTAAATGCCTAAGTCCTAAACCCCAACCCCTTAAACCTTAACTCTATAGGGTTTAAAGGTTCGGGTTTAGGTTGAATTGCCGGCTTAGGTTTAAATGCCTCAATCTTAATCCCTAAACCTGTCAACCTTAACCCTCTAGGGTTGGGGCGCCTACATCATGATCGGATTTGACGAGCTCTGCGGACATATGTATATGACAAGGTTATAACTTTTTGCTGCGGTTATAGCTATGGTTCAGGGTTTGATTTATATACATGTAAATATCCTATAAGAATAGCTCAAGCAACCATCCCCCGATAAGCAAAACCTGAATTCTATCATGTAACGATATGGTTTGTTTATATTTTGAATCCCAGGAAGTAGTGAAAAGGACATTTGCTCACAGTATTCTCGCGTCATTGGGAAGAAAGCCCTACAAACGTAGGCATAGCCCTATGGGATTTAAGGTTTAGGGATTTAAGCTCCAAGCCCTATAGGGCTTTAAGGTTCTATCGTACAGGTAATGCCTAAACCTTAAACCCTAAGCCTTTAAACCCTGTAGGGTTGAATGGTTCAAGAAACCCTAAGGTCTGGGCATGTATACCTTCAGCACCCTTTAGGGTCAAAACCTTTGTTCCTTGTAGAGCCCTATCGGGTTTTAGGGTTCTGACCCTAAACGGTTCAGGGTTAAGGTTTAACTGCCCGAACTTTCAACCCTTAAGGTTAAATCTCTATGGGTTTAGGTTTAAAGTTTAAAAAAACCTAAATCTTAAACCCTAACCGCTTAGCCTTAACTCTATCGGGTTGAACGGTTAGGGTTTAGGTTTCATTGCGGGCTTACGTTTAAATGCCTCAATCTTAAGCCCTAAACCTGTCAAACTTAACCCTATAGGTTTGGGGTACCTACATCATCATCGACTTGTTGCTGTGGTTATAACGATGGTTTAGTGTTTAAAATATATACATTTATGTAAACCTTTAAAAATAAGGGGAACCGCAATAGGCGGACGCCCATACATATATACATATATACATATATACATATATACATATATACATATATACATATATACATATATACATATATACATATATACATATATACATATATACATATATACATATATACATATATACATTTACATATATACATATATACATATATACATAAAAACATATATACATATATACATAAATACATATATACATATATATACATATATACATATATACCTATAGGCGGGCGCGGGATTTAAGATATATACATATACACATATACACATATATACATATATACATATATACATATATACATATATACATATATACATACATATACAGCATATACATATATACATATATACATATATACATATATACAATATATATACATATAACATATATATACATATAATACAATATACATTACATATTACATACATATACGGCCACATATATATACATACCTATATATGTATATATATATATATAGGTGGTCAGCCCCCCCCCCCCATGATCCACACCTATGGTTTTCCTGTCTTCGTCTTTGTCTGATTTTCTGCTTTTTCCTCGGAAAAAATGCAGTAAAAACTGTACTGGAGTACAAAAGGCTCTTTTATATTATCTCCCATAAAAACACTAGTTTTTTAATGTGCATTTTTGCTTCTGAAACGTGTGTCTTGCGGCTCCGTAAAATTTTAGAAGGGCAGCCATTTAGAATTTTGAGGCTTTTCAGGGTTTAGGGGTTTTTAAAATTTAGATGATCTGCGGAAGGCACCGGGGCTTCCCCAGACCATTCAAACAAATTTTAAAAACCCTTAAAATCCTTAATTGTTTTTGAACGGGCAGCCCTTTAAAATTTCAAGGACTTTCAGGTATTTAAATCAATTCAAAACTTTCAGGATTCAAAAGGCTTTAAAGTCCTTAAAAACCTGAAAAATTTTATCCCTTAAAACCGTTCAAAGTTAAGGAAGTTACGGATTTTGGAATTGAACATCCTAAAATCCTGTCCTGTTAAAGGACTTGTAAAAATTTACATGCACCGGGGCTTCTCCAGACTATTGACAACTAACTTTAAAAAACCTTAAAATCCTAAAAGGGCGCCCACATAAATGTTTAAGCATATCAAGGGTTTTAAAAGGCTTTAAAACCTTCAAATCCTGAGAATGTTTAAACAGAATTTTAAGGATTTCTATAAGATTGTGTGGATTTTTAAAGTTCAGATGGTCTGGCGAAGCACTGGTGCCTTCCCCCTACCATTTAAATTTCTAAAAGTTTTTTGAAAAATGGTCTGGGGGGGGCCCAGTGCCTTCCCCAGATCATGTAAATCTGTAAAAATCCTTCAAACCCTTAAAACCCTTATAACCCTTAACCCTAAAAACCAAACCCGAAACCCTTACCACTAAACCCTAAAAACTCAGCACTAGACCTAACCAAACCCCAAACACTTAACACGACTTAAACACTACACCCTAAAAACTTAACCCTAAACATTACACACTAAACCCTACACACTAAACCCTGAACACTAAACCCTAAACCCTATACCCTATACCCTAAACGGCAGGATTTTTTTTAAAGTTGTCACTGGTCTGGGGAAGCCCCGGTGCCTTCCCGCAGATCATTTAAATTTGTAAAAATCCTTAAAACCCTTAACACGAAAAACCAAGCCCGAAACCCTTAGCACTAAACCCTCAACACTCAGCACTAAACCCTAAACACTAACCCTAAAAACTTAACACTAAGCCCTTAGATGCCCTTAGCACAAACCCCAAACACTTAACACGAAAAACTAAACGCTTAAGCACTAACCCTAAACACTTAAACGCTGCACCCTAAACTAGACCCTAAACATTGCACACTAAACCCTACACACTAAACCCTAAACACTAAACAGTAAACCCCAAAGCCGGAACCTCAAGCCCTACTAAATCTAAACGTGAAACTAAATACCCGTCGGGGTTTCAGATGCTTACTGTTTGGATTTTAGAGTTTAGGGTTGTATTCGGTTTCCCTAAACACTGAACACTAAACCCTAAACCCGAAACAACAAATCCTGAACCCTAAACCAACCCCAGACCAAACAAACAGGGGGTTTCAGTCCTTTAGGGGTTTTAAACTTCATCATTACAAGGTTTAGGGTTTTAGACATTATCCAAGTAGCTTAACCCTAAACCCTAAAAAGTAAACCCTAAACCTTTAAAACCAAAACCTAAACACTAGACCCTAAACACTAAACACTGAACCCTAAACACTAAACCCTACAAACCCGAAACCCTAAACAATAAACACTAAACCGTAAGGGGTAGCACGGGTGGCCGGTCTCTTAAACCTTCAACCCCAAATCCTAACCCCAACCACGGTCCTAAACCTCAGACCCTAAACCCCAAACCCTAAACCCTAAACCTTAAACACCAAACCCTAACCCACAAAAAACGGAAAGGTGCGGGTTAAGCCTCACCGTCTGTCCTGGGCAGGCCAACGGACATCGTACTCGGCTAAGGGATGGCCGGCACCCAGACCACCGTTCAGGGTTTTGGGTTCAGGCCCCCGAGGGCCCGTGAGGGGGTCCAGGCAGGCCGGTTGCTCAATTGCCACACCCTTCAGAGCAAGTTCCGGACAAGGCAGGGCCCCGCCGTTCCGGGCCCCCAGCCAAGGGCCCCCGCGACCCCGAACCAAAGGCCTGCTTCCGGGCCAAGGGCTTCGGGTTCAGGGCCAGAGGAAGGCCCCCCGCGCCAAAGGGGTCCCTCCCGGGCCAAGGGGCCGTACCATCAATGAAAAATGCTTTTTTTTTAATGCTGGAGTTTACACCAGAAGGAAAGCCCAGGAAGCCCCCAAGAGGCGCCAAGAGCCACCAAAAGGCTTCAAAAGCTTCAAAAGGCCCCCTAAAAAAAGGGGGATCCCAAGATTTGTCCGTGCCCGCAATGAAAAGTGCGATTTTTCACTATTGAAGAACGATGGTTTTAGGCACCCCTGCCCGCAATGGAAAATGTTATTTTTTAGTACTGAAATCGATGCACCCCTCCATTTCACCCCAAAAGGACCAGGAAAGCCCCAGGAAGCCCCCAAATCAGCAAGGGCCTCTACGGGCCCTGACGTGCCGAAGGCCCGAAAAGGGCCGAGGCTACCCCGAACCGCAGGGGGCGGGGGGGGGGAAAGAATTTGGGGGGGGGCCATAGGGGGGGGACCATGGGGGGGGGGTGGGGGGGCAGCGACGCTGCACCATATGTTGTATATATTCGTAAGACCATCGAAAGGACAGCGTCTCCAACCTGGAGCTGGGACTCCGGGCACCGGGTCCTATCGCCCGCAATAATGCGGCTACTGCGTGGGCCAGGCACCCGGCCTGGTCACCGGGGATGACGCAGGCGTGTGGAGTGAGTGAGCGGGGTGACTGGGGTAAGGGGGAGGGAAATGAATGCACGGGGGGTGAGGTGCGCACCTCGCTTTACCAGCAACATACAAGATGGCAACTTCCGGGTAGTTGTTCTTTGAAGGGTTTGCTTGTTTCGTTCGTGTCGCCCTCTAGGTTGAAGCAGCTGATCAGGAAAGACTTGCTCAGCACTTGTATGTTCACGCTCACTGCTTCTTTGTCCTCAGCTTGTTTCCCAGAAACAGATGCTGTCCACCGTCTCGTAGTGGGAAATGCCACATGCACGAGCAATGCTTACTCATCAAGAATGCTGATTGCGAAGTGAACACCGGGGGGGGGGGGGCGAGGGGAAGGAGCTGAGGGTGAGGTGGGGATGGAGGGGTGAGGAGAAGGGTATTTAAGCGGAGAGGGGGTACAACCATAGAGCAACGATTCAGCTCAGTGATTTCGGATCATGGGGTTCCGTGAACTGGTTCGCCGTACTCGGATCACCCTTCCGTCTGATTCAGACCCACGACTACAGTTCAGCACGCATGCAGTGGGGCTTCTTGGATCAGCAGTCGTACGATTCGGATCACGGCTTTTGGGGATTGGGTTGAAGCCATGCGCTCTGCAGGAAGTGACAGCGGCTTAAAAAGCCGTGCACATACACGCCGACACCTGGAAGCCCTACACCCCACAAGCCTCTTCCCAGTCGTTTCTGAAAAAGGGCCGAAATCTGGGTGGGGCAAACCCCATTAGAACCCAAAAAATTCAGGCACCCAGATTTCGGACCCCGAACCCTGAGCCCTATGCACCGATTCTCTTATACATCTCATTTTTTCTTCAACGAATGGGAAGACCTAAACCCTAAACTCAAAACGGAGGCGACCCGCGACTGCTGCAGAAAACGGCTTGGAGCTGAAACCCTAAACCATCCTAAACCGTAAACCCTAAACCCTAAACCCTAAACCCTCAGCCATGTGAAGCCTCAACCCAGTGTGTCGGGTTAGCTGCAAACCTTGATCATCTGCCGTCGGGATCCGAAACGTGCCAGTCGGCTGAGCTGACCCAAATGCAGGCTTGCTCTGAATAGGTGATCCGATTGAGCTGATTCAAGCACATCGGACCCATTCTTAAGGATTGAAACGCCAAGGCCCAACAATCCCCTGCAACCCCACAAGTGCCCTTGCCTCCTGCAGAATTGCTGCCTTTGGCCGCCCGTCCTCTGCGAAAGCAACAACAACTCTCAATGACTGGCGAGGAAAGTTCCAATGGATGCGGATGGCGCTGGGACCACAGGTCTGTCACCCAAGCAAAGTTCTTTTGGGGGCCTCAGGTGCCCTGTAAATCCACCCTGGTCCTCCACCAAAACAATCGCCGCGTGGATGCGGGGCCGGACGAGGAAGAAGGGCGCCAAGGCCTCAACCGTCCAACAACATTTCTCAAGGTGACCAGCCAGAACCGAAACCCAGCACCCGCCAGCACCCTGAAAGGCTCTCTGTTCGGCGCCCTCCCACAAAGTTGGGAGGATCCAAAATTCGAGGGAGCCAGGGGATCAGAGGCCCAAGGCTTGCGGAAGGCTGAGGGCTACAGCTGTTGGAATGCGGAGTTGGCGTCAGAAGCGCCTCCAAACTCGGCACGGAAGGGTGCCAGAGCGGCAGGCGGATGCCACCCATCCGGGCCTGAAGCAGGCACCCCAAGCTTGAGCAGCTTGAGCAGCTTGAGCAGCTTGAGCAGCTTGAGCAGCTTGAGCAGCTTGAGCAGCTTGAGCAGCTTGAGCAGCTTGAGCGAACTTCATGAGAGCTGAGAAAGCATAGGCGCGAGCAGCCAGCCTGTCCAAAGCCTGTCCAACAGCGCGCGGAATGTCGAAAGCCGAGATTGCATTCAATGCCTTTGGTTCCACCCGTCTCGTTAACAAAGAAGACACACTGCCATCGTGACCCGAGGCGGTACTTGGTTTGAGATTGGGTACTCGGGAGACTAGGCACTCTAGCTACAGTCCCCGAACATGCCGCGCATCAAGACATGCCAAAAAAATTATGTCGACCCCTCTGAAACTAGAGTTCACCACATCCAACCTTGGACTCTGTGCACTCTATGAAACTCCATGGACTTTAAGCATCTGTGCATGTCTTGCACCCGCCTCAGCGCGTGCACGGAGCCCGAGCTTCACTGGGCGCAGCTGCGTTGTATGGTCGGCCGACCTGGCACGGTCAGGGGCAGTTTGTGAGCGCTGTGAGCGAGTCCCCCGACTTCCAACAGTGGTTCTGCAAATCGAAAAGGCCTATCAGGTGCCTTGTGCTGGAATCAGAAATTCTAAGTGCAGACATGCACGACACGTCGTGTCGGCGTGACCCCATTCCTGTGCGTGTGGCTTCGACAAGCGGAGCTCTTCCCTTTGCAGGGCTACTCAGCCAAGCATAGCGTCACCTCGCAGCGGTACACAATCGACCGCGAGGTGCTTCTCAGCAGATCCCCCTACACCCATATGCACCCACAAATTGGGGAGTGGGCCATACCCCGGAGGCCACAGGATTAGGATTGCGTCGAGCTTCTGCTGGCAGCGTGTTTACATGCAGGTTACGAGTTCTTGGCCCTCAAAAACTATCGCCACCCTTGAACCACGCATTGCCAGAACCCAAGCATCTTTCATAAAGCCCAAAAACCGTGGCTCCTACATAGCCGGAGTAAAGAAGCGACCGAGATCAAAAGAAGCCGCGTGACAGAACATTGACAACCTGCATGACACGTGGTGCGTAGTTCAACATACAAAGTTAAAGACAAAATCGTAACCAACTGCAGTCGTCAAAAACATGCTCTATGATGGCTTGAGATCACAACTGTGTGGCCCTGTTGACACCAAGACCCCTCTCTGCCTGCAACAAGTACACGCCAGCATCAACAGAGTCGCAGCATGGTTTCCAGAGCAAGCACCAACCCACACAGAAATCAGCATGCACCCACACATGCGAACAAAAAAAAGAAACCGAAACCTGTTCACCCACATGCCAGGGTCGGCCACCAACCAAGCGTGCCCTGCAGACCAGATGGCTTGGACATCCGAGTCCAGGAGCTGGCAAGGGGCGCTGTAGAAGAGGCCTTGGGCTTCGTGTGGGTTTAGGGCTTCCGAGTCATTGGTTTAGCGCCCGCCAAGCAATGAAAAGGTTAGACTTCCATTTTCCTACTATTGCTCTTCAAAATGTGGGGACCCTCCCAGTTAGCTAGCGGCTGCCTGTACGATGTTACCCTACAGGATCCTGCAGGGACAGGGTATGCCGCACGGGCAGGATTCGCAGGACTCGCGCACGGACTATTGGGTGGTCGGGGCAGCTTGGGCACTATCATTTGATATCATTTGGGCACACATGACATATCACCTAGCCCGCATGTGCATAACTGCACGCTCTGGGGACTTTTGGGATGCCCCGCAAGATGGATCTGGGCGAGCACGGCCACATGAGCTTGAAAATGCGAAAACATGACATGGACGTCATCGTCCGGGTGAGTATGGAGGCACGAATTCCTGGATGCTCCAGTAACACCGACGCTGGCACCGTTGACATTCTCAGCCAAGATGCGCATCTCATGTCTGTGATTGAAAGGTCAGAATGCAACTCAAGCCGAGCTAAAGGGGTCCGCGGGGTTGATTCAGATCAGTAAGCCACTGCTAGGCGATGAGGTTTTAAACGAGTTTTACTAAAAGCGACTCGTTTCTGTTGAAGCCTAAACCCCCTACTTGTGGAAGGTTTAGGCTGAAACCTACTCCTAAACTCTAGAATCTCCCTAACCGGCGAGTAGGGTTCTATGGCTTTGGGTTCAGAGGCCAAATTTTGACCTCTTTTAATGCAGCCAAGCTGCAGCCCAAGTCGGAACAGCGATAGGCACCTCAGCGACCCACGGAAATTTCATCAACCCTGAAACACTTGTGTAGGATGTTCTCATCTAAACGAAACCTCAGAATCATCCTCATCCTTGTTTCAGTGTCTGACAAACAAGCAGCCAGTGGACATCATACATCGGTTCCATAAACAGGAGCTAAACCTGGTTTCGTTCACTGGACAGCCATCAGCACACGACACGGTTGACAAAATGAGTCAAGCTGCCTTGGTGAAGAGGGATGACGGGAGTCCCTCTAACGCCGCATGCCACATGCTAGCAATCAAATCACACAGCTTGGGTTGTCTTGGGCACGATCAAGTGCAGCAGAGCGCAGCGGAAATCAGATCGTGCATAGGCCTGCGTCGGATCGTGAGCCGGATCAACGGCTTAGCGACCGAAACAATCCTGGTATGCCCTGAAATGCTGCAGGGTTTTAGGACCATAGGCCTCGTCTCGACAGTCCAGAACCCAAGCAACAAGGAATTTGGCGAGCCACCACTTCAAGTGAGCCCCAGAACCGTACAGCCAAAAACCCTCGAAGCCCTAACCATGTTCGTAGTCGTAGACCCTGGACCCTGCCGGAACACTTTTGGAGTTTCGGAAATCTATACATTCGGCACGGCACCACGCATGTATGTTGCTGCGATGCAATGGTGAGCCACGTTACGTGGAGAGATCAAGCTCCTGCAGACTGGGAGATCCATGATTTTTGGCAGAGAAAGCCCACATGTACATTAGAGGTTTGGCAACTGTAACAATACAAGTGAAGGTGGGGAACCATTATTTTTGTCAAGTCAATCTGCAACCCAATGGCCTGAAATGCCTTCATGGACAGCGATTCTTTACATGTAAGATAGACATGAAAGGCGCATCGTAAAGCAAGGCCGACGTACCCAGAAGGAGACATCAGACACACAAAGAAACATTGCATATCAAAATCTGCATATCCAGAGAGAGGTCGGCATAAAACAAAAGGCAGTCTAGGAGCCAGAATTGCAACCGGAGAGCTAGGCGGGCTCAACCGATGCTGTGTCTTGACAGGACCATATGAGAGAGTCCAATTGCACAGACGGGGCGGGTGGAGTTATCATACGAGACAACTCCATTATTCGGACAAGGGCCACACAACAAAGCCGAACAGCACAATCTCCGGGAGCTCAAAGTGATGGCCAGCTTCAGCCAGGACTGATATTTCAGCTAGGTCAGAACACGTATTCAGTTGTGTGTTATCTGGTTTGGCGGAAGGGAGAACTGGGTGACTGGTTCGAAGCGAACTAATCCGATGAGTTGCCGCGCCTCTTGTCTCGGGTGAAGAGAGGAGGGGGGAGGGGGAGCAGGCAGGGGCAGAGGGGTGAGGAGAAGAGAGGACAGGAGATGGAGAGTAGAGCTGGGACAGGAGAGGAGAGGAGGAGAGGGGAGGAGAGGGGAGAGGAAGGGAGGCGGCAGAAGAGAGAAGTGAAGGAGGGGGCAGAGGGCAGGCAGGGTGATGTACATTCGCCACACAGCGATGATCTGAGCTGTGCCCGTTCTTAAGCCGAGCCACAGACGCGGATGGCCCCATGAGGCGATCCCGGATCTGATCCGCTCAACCCTCTCCGAGCTGATCTGTCTGTTGTTCCTACTGCCCCACCCGGTCCATCCTACGTTCGCCTGAAAAAGCCCGACGAGTGAGGTGCGGGCGGAGGCTTCCATCGACGCACAGCTCGCTTAGCCTGCGAGGCAAAAGCAAAAGAAAAAGACACAGGGATTCCGACAGTTCTCTGAGAGCCGAAGGTAGGGTCTAGGACTCTAGGACGTTACTCACTTTGTGGTTGACAGAGAAACGGGCGATCTCATCTGCAGAATTGCTTTACAGTTGCCATATCATTGCGAGTACCTTATTGGCAGCAATCCTTCAAAAACTAGCAACCAGTTTACCATTTTGCATCATTCTGCTGTGTGGCTGCATCTTTCGCAAAAGCTATTTTGATTGACAATCATGCCTACAACGTCAGCTACTTACCTCAAGCTCGTAGCCAGAGCCGGACAAAATTGACCTACCAAACTTTCGGAACTTTGTAGACACTCATCAACCATCCTCAACCATCCCAGGCACACCACCACTGGCCACTTTTCCCGCCGCTTGGCCGAGTCGCTGCGCATCGAGTTGGCGGCGCAGTGGGAAGGCAGAGCCAGTCCGGAGGAGCCTCGGGAAATATTGCGTGCTTGGGGAAACCTGGGGAAGTGGCGAGGCTTTTTGCAGAGATTCCAGTGGCAAGAAAGAAGCAAGAGGGCTTCTTCACCGATTTTACGGTTGAGGTTCTGGTTTGTGGTCGGGCTATGGAACTTTGAAACTTGGTACTATTGGATACTATTGGTTCCTCGGTTTTAGGCCTTAGCGTTTCGTGGGAATGTGTTCCTGTTTTGGGGGGGCCCGGAGAGGGTTGATGTTAAGATCTGCCAGGCCAAAGGCTTTGCAAGTCTGCTGCACTGAGCGCAAATGTCGAAAGGTTCCACGCATACTTCAAGGCTCTAGTTGCACAGCATGGCAGGCATTCTGTGCCATCGTGCTGCTTTGAAGCTCATCCTGACGCAAAGCAATGCAAAGCGCAGACCTCAAGACAACGCGGCTTGGGGCGCCGGGCTCCCGGGCCCCGGCCCTGGAGACAAGGTAGGCGAAGGTGCCCAGAGGGTCGCAGCCAGACCTGGCACTTGGGGGGGGGGGGTTTGTGGCTTTTTGGGGGGAGCAGGTGCGTTCAGCGGCACTCCCGGGACGGGAGTGGACAGCTTGGTCCTGCTCGTTGAGGCAGGGTCAAGGCTGAGATGTGCCTTCGCGGGCTTGGGGGTTGTTCGGGTTTGGTGTGCTTTGTTGTTGTTTGTCTCGTCTGGGGCTTAGCAGCTGCAGTGGACATAAACGACTCTAGGAGTCACATGAGAGTTCTCCGCACAAAACATGCTTGAACGAATCTCGCACCTCTGCGGACGTCAGACCCTAAAGCAACAAACGATTTAAAGCATGTTGCCTTCGGGCCTATGTCTTCGGGCCCCTGGCACTCACGCTGACACCGTCAAGACCCCCTTGAACCCTGCTATGAAACATAGAAACCAGGGCGAGTGCGCCAGGGCTCCAGTGGCCCGGAAGTCTTCAAGAGCCCTGCCATGAGATCGCACAAGGGGATTGTCCGGTGTGCGTCATGGACTTTCAGCGAAGCGAAGCAGCTTTAGATCGCACGCCCCAAGCCAGCGACCGGCTAGTAGAAACTCCGCCTGACAGAAACCCACAAACCCGGGAAAGCTTCAAGAACAGCATCGCCTCCCAAGCCATCCGAACAGCTTAACATGGGAAAACCCAGAAGCCCTCAGCGAAGCATCTGCGGAAAACCGCCTGCATCCCCAAGGGCCAAGCGGATCACGGCTTGCCCATGCCTCTTGCAATTTCTACAGGCTTGGGGGGTGCCAGGCAAGGGGGGTAGTTATTTTGAAGAGGACCGCGGCATGCTGGGGCGGGAATGCTTGGAGTTGGAGAGAATGCGAAACAATCAGGCTCGTGAGGGTTTGGGGGTGAAAAACTCGTGAAAACTACACTGTGTCAACTTCAGTCTGAGCCTGCATTGATAGTACAACCTGCAGAACAAACAACCCAATAATTCCCGCTGCCTCCCCCCTGCGCAGCTCGCCACCGATAATCACGATAAAAACAACGAGCTAGTGCCTCTCTTATTCTCTTGCTCTCACCCCCATCCCACCCCGTGACCGCTACTCCACCCGCATGTCCTGGCTCCCTTGCAAGCAACACAACAACATACAACAACATACAACAACATACAACAACATACAACAACATACAACAACATACAACAACATACAACAACATACAACAACATACAACAACATACAACAACATACAACAACATACAACAACATACAACAACATACAACAACATACAACAACGTACAACAACAAACAACAACATACAACAACTCAATATTCGAGGGGCAAGCTGGACATGAAGAAAAGAGAAGCCGGCCATGCATAGGCCCAGGCCAACCAACGTAGCACAGGTGCCAATCCGAAGGGAGCTCGCGCACCACCTGCATGTGCTCGCAAGCAGGCAGCGCTACACTCTCTGAGGTCGATGGTTCAATGCATGGTCTTGATATGTAATGATACTCTCCAGTTTAAGGCTTAGGGAAGGCTTAGGGTTGAGGAGTTTCTGGCTTAGGTTTTAGGCATGGAGCTCTCGCACGATAGCAAGCGATGCTTAGCCGCTGCTTCCTTCTTCGGACTTGATTTCGTGCTTTGCTGGTTCTGTTGCTTCGGTTGGTTCGTAGAATTGTGCTGCGCGCAGTTCTCGGCTACGAGCGAGGCAGGCAGACTTGGGCAGGGAAAGAAGGTTGAGTCACGAACACCAGCTTCAAACTCCGGCTGCCAACCTGCGCCAGCCGCTGCTCCAGGTCTGATGCCACCCAGAGCAGGTCCTCTGGCTCCCAAGCACTCCGAAACCACAACCGAGCCGTCACCAAACCCCTACACCTGCTAGCTCCAGAGTTGATGTGTTCGGGTGTTGTTCGAACGTCTCAACACCTTTGGGCCTCCAACACAGAATCAGAGGGCCTGGCATCTTCAAGTACCAGCAGCCAGTCCTGCAAGCTGACCTTTCGTGACGAGGAACTCGGGCTCCCAACTCCCAAATCTGGACCACCGGACGGCTTTCCCTGAACCAGCATGCCACGGCAACCGTCCTGAAAATGGCTCCACAAACCAGCACGGGCACAACCCTAAAACCACACAGCCCTAAGGTAACCCGGCACGAGATGTGTCGCCTCAGATGCCAAGGACTCCCAGAGGACCTGGCCAGGGGAAACGAGCACAAAGTCTGGGTCATCCAATGTGAAGCCATCACTGCTTCCAAAGATTAGGAGTCTAGGCACGAGGATTGCGGAGTTAGGCGCTGTATGGTGCAAGAACAATCGGCAATTCAGACTCCCATTATTACTCCGTCTTGCTGTCTGTCTAACGACGCCTGCCTCGAAACATGCAAGGCTGTCCGAGTGTACACTGGTGCTCGAAGCACCCACGCTACCGTTAGAAGATGAAAACACATGTTGCGCTCTCATCTTTCAGCCACAACTTCCCTCAGCTCTGCACTCGATGCGACAAGGCGCAGCCAACGGCGCCAGGCCTTCCCGAATCGCTTCCCAGAAGGCAAATACCAAGCACCAAAGAGCGGCTTCTTTGCAGGGAGGTTTTGGAAGTCTTGGATCGGCTGGCTCAGTAAAAACTCCCGGTAACAGGAAGCATTCCGAGCCTCTGGCCTTTGTGGTGTCGCAACAATTGAATGGGGCTCCAGTGCTAACTAACACCTTTGCAAGAGAGGTTTCGCCGTGCTTCGGGCTTCTGCTCCAAATCACAGCTTGAGGCTTGAGCACCTACTACTTTTGGTGCTTTTGGAGGGCTTTTAGGGGGTTGGTTCTGGTTATGTGTGGGCTCTACTTTTCTTATATTCCGTGCTACTGGGCAATTGGGACTCCCAGGTTCAAGGCGCTTGTGCCTCAGGAGAGCTTGAAGGTATGAGCTCTACAGAGGGCTCTACAGTGCAAGACCTGGCACGGATGTCATGGCTGTGCTCTGGGCTCCAAGCGTCATGTGGAGCCAGTCGTGATTCCAGCAGGTGGACGTGCCTGCGACTGAGCCATGCACTCCGGTGTTGTTTCAAAGTCGCGAATGCTCCAACATGAGAACGTAAGAGGGATGCGGAAATGGAATTAAGTTCCCTTGTAATGTCCATTCAGCATCGCACAAATTTGCATGTTCGTCCAGCCTTCGAGTATCTCGAAACGTTGTTTCACCTGCAAGACAAGCATGCCTCTGGTTCTTTATTTGTTGCGATAATCATGAAGTGGAACAGCTCAAGTGAAACTGTTGTCAAGTTCACTGCTTCCGTAGAAACCTTGCGAAAAATTGTTTTTGAACTTGCGGCCTTCTGAAAGCTGTCGTCTCTCATAGTCGTGCTTCTATTAACTTGACGAACCCTCTCACAACTTGCGCAGATCGTGAGACGGGTCAGCTGAAGAGCCTCGTGCGCTTCGCTGTGGCGGTTGCTCAAAAGGTCTGGCACCTGGCACTGAACACGGACTGAGCACTGGGCCATAGACTGAGGCCTTGCGACGAGCACTTGCTGGCAGCTTTGCATACGATGGAAAAAAAGGCGGCGGCTTTATCCGTGCACCCTTCCTTTCTGAGCCTGAACCGGCCTGAGCCTCGTTTCCAGGGGAACTCTTCTGCAAGGGATGCACGGGCGAGCATAAGAACGCTGTAAGAAGTCAGGGGTAAGACACACACATTTGACAAAGGACAGGACATCGAGGAAGGTATGCCAGAGGAGCCCAACACGCATAACAGGCTTTCCCACCCCTGTGGCACCAGAACATACGGCGCACCAGTTGGTGGGCAGCCACGCTACCACCGCATACAGCGGGCAGCCAATGGAGCTTCGCCAATAGCCAAGGATGAGGCCTTTGTGTAGCTGAGGTTGTGGATACTTCAAAGGCAAACGACTTTTGTTTGTGTGGCAGTGTGGCGCTTGAAAAACTTGCACGCAAAGCTGGTTGATCTCAGCGACTCAGCACCGGGCTCCAAAAGGGCGATCATGCCTTGGCGCCAAGGACAGCACATTCAACACCGCAACATAAGCACAACACATACACGCAATCGGAATTCCTGAGTTCCAAACGCCGCCGCCGATCTTCCCTTGCATCCAAGCTTACCTCGCAATCTCAAGCCTAATTTTCCACCTAAATTCAACCTAACGCCGTTTCAAGCAGCTGGCTAACTCATGTCTGCCCAGGTTGAGGCAAATCCAACCAGTACGGAATCTCAGCACGCGGCAACCACTGCATGCCAGTTGTGGCACTGCATTGTAAAGAAAAACGAAGAACCTAAAGACCGCAGCCGTCTTTACTTTCTGCTGCAAATGTGCACGGTGTCACGTTGCAACAAAGCAAATTATTACACGGGACATGCTGCTTTGTATTGGCATCTGCAAAAAAAAACACACCTGCCGGTATCTGCGCCACTCCACTCCTAAACAATGACCTGTTGATCCGCATCTGCGCTCGTTCTCCAGTGTCGGCACTCTACAGCTTCTACCAGAAACTTTGGGCTCGAGGGGTCCAATGGCCGATATGCAAAACGTGTGCGGACTCACAGTTCCGGCTTACACGCAACACTTGCGGAACTTTGCGAGAATCCGTTTGGCACCACAATTCACTTTCCAGATCCACCTCACCCAGGAGCCTGCCGATTTTTCTACGATATTTTTAGTTTTCCGACCCCACCACCGAATGTGCCAAGAACTGCTGGATGGTAAGCACGCAGCTGGCCGAACAAGCAGAAAATCTAACGGGGCCTTTTTTTTTGGCACGCAGGTGGCCGAACAAAAATCAACAATAGCGCAGGCCGAGCAAAAGCAGACACGTTGGTTGCGTATACGTTAAGAGGAAATCCTGCGTTCTCTATTTTTTCACTACTCTCAAATGTCTCGAAAACGCCTTAGTTTCACTCACCATTCTGATAACGGCCATCGGGAAGGTTCATTGTTGATACTTTAACTGTGAAATGACCAAAATTTCTCGTCTTCTTGACCACTTCAGCTGTATGTTTTATGAAAACCTCCGTGAAAAGTTTCACTCTCGCTCAGCCACACGACTTTTCCGAGGCATACACCGACATGTAAAGATTAGCGGGCTGAGTTGGCGATTGTCGGCCTTCGAATTTAGCTTTTGTTGTAGCCTTGGAGATTCCACAAGCAGGCTTCAACCTGCCCTCCTGTTGTCGAAAGTAGAGCCTCAAAAAAAGTCCTGCAGGGACCACTTTGGGATGATTGTGACAGCAGGTGCGCACCGTGCACACCCAATCCTAAATCCCTAGACCCCAATCCTGGAACTGCCCCGAATGTGCCAGACATCTGCAGCCCAAAATTCCTGAGCAAGCTCCCACAAAGAAAGCTGCAGAAGCCGCTTCCAAGGAGGTGGAAATTATGACAGCCATAAAGGTCACAAAAAGAATTGGAGGTCCCTCTTTTGAAGTACAAATGCGACATCTTCCAGATTGACGTCAAGGGCGGCATGACAGAGTTCAAGGTAACTGACTTGCTTGATGAATGTGGCAAATGCCCAGTTCCTTTGTCGCAGACACAGATAGTCAAAGCCATCAATAGAACTGTCGATCCAACATTCTGCTTTCTTATTCAAAAACGCGCCGAACTTGGAAGGCGAAATAACGTTTCCAAGACAAATTCGTGATCTCATGACTTCGTGTTATCTGCGAGCCGGAAGAAATGCTTCTTCATGGACAACAAGGTGGTCTCCCCCTGAAGAAACGTCCTCTAGAGGGAAATGATCATGCCTTTGTTACAAGATCTGTTCTTAAACCGGGCACAGAAACGCCCTTGAAGGAATTTTAAGAGAAAAACTCAACTGGCGTCACCTCTCCAAACGTGATCACACAGATTCATTACGTTTTGCACCACAAACATAGTTGAAATGTTGGTTGGAAAGATTAATAAAAATCACCAAAGAATTGTCTCAATTGCGATAAAAATATTCTCTCAACTCACTAACAATACAATATATACACACACTAAACGCATAACAAGAAAATGTTTTGAACAATTTTTATGGTTCACCACAAATTTCTTGATAAATGTTTTGGTATCTTGAAACAAATTTCTTATGAATATTTTTTGCACCAACTTGAATTGCATCCATTAACAATTTGTTAAATCGCTTCCCCCAAAACTATAACCATTTGTTTTTCATAATTTAGTTTTTGAAAAATTTTCAATTAACAAATGTTTACAATAAATACATCGCACCATTAGGTATGACTGAGTAGAAGCAGCAATTACTGAAATCATCTCCATGATACTTTGGGGGGCCAGACGTGCGTTGCCAGAAATTCATGGTTGCAGGCACCCCCAATTCTGGTCCCCAAACTTGCTCCACTTCGTCCTTTTGGAGACTGCATTGAGAGAACCAACACACACGACACAGAGACACACGATACAGGACAACCGACGACGGACCGACGGACCCACAAAGAAACATGCCAAATCACCAACCGAGTTGAACTAAAGGAAGGCCAAAATGCCAAAAAAACAAGAATGGACCCAAGGCCGATTGAGGACCAAGACCGATTCAACTCAAATGACAAGAAACAAACCAGGGTCCAATCGACCAGAAGCGTGAGAGACCACCACAACTCACAACAGGAAAAGGACAAACTGAGCTCAAAGGACTGAATCCAAGCACAACAACTTCGGAATCTGTGGAACAGATCCGACCAGCAACATCTAAGAAACATGGACACAAACATAAAACAGACAACAAAATGCAGAGAGAGAACAGACAGGAGAAAAAGCAAAACACGAAAAAACAACCAACAATCAACAGATCCAAGAACTCCAGAACCCAAGACCGGATACTTGGAAGACCAAGAAAGAGGGAACAACCAAGATTGACCAGAAGACTGAAGAGAGAAAGATCCAAGCGACTTAAGGAGGAGAAAAATCAGCACCAAGATCACCGAAAAACCAACAGACCGTAGAGACTCAGGGACTCCAAAAAAAAATTTTGAACCAAAGAGTCTAAGGGCCACTTTAAAAAATCTGACTTTTTGAACCAAGGGACGTCTCAACGAAAGGGTCTTCGACCTTTTTTAAGTCCAGATCAAGCCTAAAGGTGTCTTAACACTACTTGGGCAGAAAAAACAAAAAAAAAACCAAAAAAACGGGTGTCTTAAGACCACTTTGATAGACTTTGAACCATGGAGTGTCTTGGATTTGCGAGAGATCCCAAGAAATTTCTGCAGATGTATTTTGAGCTTGGTAGAAAGTTGCAATAGTTAGTCTGAAAAAAGGAACCTTGAAATTGTTTGTCAAAAAAAGTGAGTCGAAAAAAACCCACAAGCAAAACCTGACAATCAACAAAAGTGAGACGATCAAAAACAAGCTCTGACAACAAAACACATGTCAGATGTACTCCGGTGTTTCGCTCGCTTTGCTCGCACTTATTCACATTGTGGAAAGACACTTTGTGTAAAAGTTTCTAAACAGCACAAACCCAACTTACACACAGCTTCGCACTTGCACAGCACTTTCTCACACAAAGCGACGTGCAGTTGTCCTGCCTTCTTAGTGCTTTCTCAGCTCTCTTGACCTTGAGCCAAGAGTCAAAAGTAAAACTGGAAAAACCCAGTTGACGCCACCTACGCAAGCTCACTTCTCCTACAAAACAAAATCTCAAGGAAAAACATGCTCGACTGTTCAGGGAAGACCTGTACGTCCCGGACATACAGTAAGCACGTCAAACATGCGCCTTGGCCAAAAAGGCATCCCGCAGACGTGTCTATACACAGATTTCCACACCCCCTTTCGGGATGATCTTTTTGTCTCACCTCACTCTCAGACGACGACATCTTCAGATGATCACTCCAATCTCAGAGGTCTATTCCCTGTCACACATGTCGAACACGGAGTGATGCATGTCGGGTTGGAGGTAACGGCCGCCACATGCTTGCAGTACACACTGTGATATTTGTCCCCGGACGGGAACACACACAGTTCTGTGTTGCCCGGCTCTGGCTTA